CGCCGGGGCGGGGCCGCGGGAGCCGGGACGGGCCGAGGCAGCGGGAGGCAGCCCGCGGCACCAGCCGGGCGCTCCCGCTTTCCCGGCGGCTCCCCGTTTCCCGGCGCTCCCCCTTTCCCGGCGCTCCCGCTTTCCCGTCTCTCCCCCTTTCCCGGCGCTCCCGCTTTCCCGTCTCTCCCCCTTTCCCGGCGCTCCCCTGCGCTCCCGCTTTCCCGGCGGCTCCCCGTTCCCCAGCGGCTCCCGCTTCCCCGGCTCTCCCGCTTCCCCGGTGGCTCCTGCTTTCCCGGCTCTCCCCCTTTCCCGGTGCTCCCGCTTTCCCGTGGACACGGCCGGCCACGCCTGGTGTCCCGTGTGTAGGAGCCGGGGCTGTGGGCACCAGGCTGAGCCTGTTCCACGGGGCCGGAATGCGGAGCGGCCCTCACAGCCCGTCCCGGAGCTGCTCCGTGTCCTGCTGCCGCTCAGTGTTGTTTTCCCCGGGCTGGGAGACTGGGATATTGGTCCTGCCTCTTCCCTCTGCTGGGAACACCGGGTGTTTGGGAGCCAGCGTGGCGGGCACCGGGTTCCCTGCGGCTCCTCTTTCCTCTCCACGCTTTCGTCTCCGGGCCGGACCCGGAGCCCGGGAGCGCTTTTCCTGGTGCTGTTTGTGCCGTCCCTGCGAGGTGTGCGCTGAGCGGTGGCTCCCGGTGCACGGACACGGGACGAGGTCCCGGCTGGACACGTTGGACGGGGCCGCCGATGCCACCCGGATGGGATCGCGCGYGGAGGGCGGCCGGGTGCCCTCTCCGAGCCCTTTCCCGTGCTGATTCCCGCTGCGGATACCGGAGGGCCGGGCACTCGTGCCTTGGGGTGCTGCGCCAGTCTCCGTCACCTGTTCCCAAACACACACCCTCTGATTTTCACATCAGCCAAATACGGAATATTCCTTTAAAATGAAGATATTTCCGCTTTGTTTTTACGTTTTTTGTATTGTTTTTCCTGGCKTAACCAGATGCAGCCTCCCGCTCCGCCCAAATCGCTCCTGTTTGGAGAGCAATCCTGCTCTTACGGAGTCGCTTGTGACAGTGGGGACGTTGCCCCGTGCCCAGTTTGAGGCCTCAGCTGCCGGGAATGCGGTGTTGGAYGGGATTGGGCAGCGTGTCCCGCGTTGGGAGCGGGACAGCGGCGAGGGGGACGCCGGGGGCTCGTCCGGCCTCGCGCGGCAGCTTCGGRGCGGAACCTCCTCGTCCTCCATCTCCTTCTGCCGGCAGCCCCCAGACCCCCCTGCGCTTCCTCCTGGAAGTGGGAATTGCCGTTCGGCTCCTGCTCCCTCGGGAGCCTTCCCGAGCGGCCGCYGGGCCTGCCCCGAGGATGGGCTCTCGGAGGGGCTCTCCTTCACGGACAGCTCCATCAGGAATGGTGGTAATTAATGGACCTGCTGGCTGAATTCTCAGCTCTGGTGTTGGGTGTTCCCTTGAAGAAACTGTGGGCCACAAATGGGCAGTCCCAAGGGATAGTTTTGAGTCAAGAAGTAAAAATAACAGACAAAAACACACGCAGCTCCGCTGTGGCCTTGGCCTCTCCAAGCCGAGAGGCCTTAAAATGAGTGTTGGACCCTTTAGAAGTCCCTGAGAAATGCAAAGGGTTTAGTTGACATGGAARGAGAAAGGACCCTCGATGCCATCCGCAGCCTTTCCCTGCGGGAGGGCGATCCCGCCGCCCGCTGAACGTTGGGAACGCTGCTTCAAGAGGGGCCCCGAGCGCAGCCCGGGGCTRTCGAGGCCTGAGCGAAGCRTCTGACGGGAGAAACCAACCGAAACGTGGACCCTAAACGGGATCTGCACGGGGTTTGCTGCACGTTGCGGTGCCTCTCGAGGCCCTCGCGTGCGGCGGCCGCCTCGTGACGGGTTTCCTTCGCTCTCTTGCAGCGCATGGTGCTGAGCTTTAGGGTGCCGGAGCTGCAGGCGCTGCTGGGCTTTGCCGGCCGCAACAAGAGCGGCAGGAAGCACGAGCTGCTCTCCAAGGCGCTGCAGCTGCTCCAGGCCGGCGGCGGCCCCGCGCTGCACGGGAGGATCAAGGAGCTTTACGGGCGCCGCGTCCCCGGGAAGATCCTGACGCCGGCTGACTTCCCGGCGCTGCGCAGGCGGGCCGGGCCGGCGCYGGGCCCCGCGGCGCCGCTGCCCGTGCGCCCCGACGTCAAGATGAAGCGGCTGCCCTTCTACGACGTCTACGACGAGCTCCTCAAGCCCACCACGCTAGGTACGGGGAGACCTSTCCGCCGTCGGGGCTGCTCCTGCTCGCCCAGGGCTGCCATCCGAGCGCTCCCAAACCCACTCCGGGCCGACCTGGGCTGCTGCTGCCAGCCTGGATGCCAAGCAGCGATGCCCACAGGGTTTAGCAAATAACAATACAGCAATAGCAATACAGGACACAGGGTKTAGCGCATTGCAAATAGCAATAGCAAAGCCTTGCAGTCCCCGGGGTTCAGGTTTCCAAGGCTGGCGCGTGCGAGCGCGGCCGGGCAGCGCCAGGAGGGCAGCAGGGAGCTGCGGGGCGCCCGGCCCCGCTTTGTGTTTTCCCTGTAAAAATGCCCTTGGAGTAAGAGCCGCTCTGACAACCTCAGCTGCTTTTGAATAGGCTGCCAGAAATGGAAGCTTTTAGCCTCTTTTCAGGCTCCTTCCAAGCCTATTTGCATGAAAAAGGGCATTTCCCTCGGCTGACATGTTCCACTTTGTGTTGAGTGTCTATTGAGTGTCAAGTTTGGGGTTATTTACTGTTTTCACCTGGTAAGAAGCATTTAGGGGACCTGGAGCTTTCTTTTCAGAGGCCAATGGAGAGGTTTGCCCTGTGCTGGGACCTGTCAGCAGCGGGGTGCTAATCCCAAGGGAGTAAAAACCTGCTTAAATTGGCAGGGACTCCCTTTGGAACAAATTAGCCAAGGCCAGGACTGCTAATTGCGAGCGGTGGTTGGTTATTTTTGCCAACAATTGATGTCAGCAGCTCTCGGCGCCTCCTAAAATCTCCCTGGCAGCCTGAAGTTATTTCTGCCTTAGATATTAACAAAAATAGTCATGAAATCCTCTGATATACAGGATTAATGAAGTGTTTTGTGTGTTACAGTCCTGCCCGCAGGTTGCAGAGGTGGGAAATTCTCGTCCGCGTCGACGAGGCAGCTCGAAAGCAGGCAGGAAGCAGGGAAGGAGAGCGGAAAAGGGRTATGGAAAAGGGAAAACCCGAAGGCCGTGGGGACTGTAGTGCCCTGCTGCCTTTGCTGGCCTTTCYGTGTGTCGCTTGCAGGTTCGAGGAGCCTCTCGTGGACCCTCATTGAGTCCAGGCAGCACCTGCTTTAGGCGAGGGACTTGGCAAGACGTTGCAGCCAGATGGAGTTGGTGGGAGAAAGAGGAGATCAGACTTAAAAAAACACCTCAGATAGCCCCGTCTTGTACCAGCCTAGAATAGTCCTGTGCTGACTGTGTTTGTGCTTTAGGCTGAGCCTTTCTGGCTTCTTCAAAAGACACCCCCCATCTCGAGCCTTTTTAATGGCTCTAGCTTGGGCTCGGGGCTGGTTTTCTTCCACATAAACAGTTGTGTTTGCTAACACAGAGATAACGTGTCTGTATTGCAATGAAAAGCCACTGACTTTTTATGTTCTGGCTGCATATTCTTAGGTTTGGCTTTGTTAAACCTCTTGGACAACCTGTGGTTAAGCCTCTCCCCTGAAACGGGATACTCCTCTTGCAACAGAAACTGTTTTTTTTGGTGCCAAAGACTCTGTCTCTTGATAAACTCCCTTCCTTATGTGTTGGTGCCTGAACTGGAAGCATTTTTTATGTAACAAACTTGAGGATCGCAGATATTTTTTGCTCTTATTTTTGGCTCCTGTGGGTTGCATCTCTCCCTGTTCTCCCTTCAGCTCTGCGAGCGTCACCTCCTGTTTTTTTTTCCACATTTTAATTATTTGTGACAATTTGGTTACCGTTTCGGGCGTCCAGATCTGAAGGCTGTGACGTCATAAAAATGCCTGATAAAAATACACCTGTGGAAGGGGGAAATGAGAGCAGAGATGCAGGCAGGTTGATGGTGGGATAGAGACGGCGCATTGATTAATTAATCCACTATCCAAATTAATTACCTCTAGCTGTGTTAATGATGAATCTGGCAGAAGTTTCTGTTTCTCTGAGTTAGGGGCSGCTGCTGAGTGAGCGACAGGATTTGGCTGCAAACGGGTTATGAAACAGGGGATTGTTCCCTGCCACCTCCGTTTAGAACCAGTGAGCAAGGAAGCGGAGATGCAAGTTATTCCCATTGAGATATTTGGCTTTGCGGTGGTGCTGCTTGGAGCAAAACGGGGATCTCATTTTGCAGATGGGGTGCACAGGGCTCAGCAAGCCCCAAGACCCGCGTCCGGGGAGGCGGGAAGCCCTGGGGGCTCCTCCGTGGGCCCCGGCAGCCCCTGCTTCCCGTGGCCGTGGGTCGCTGCTGGCTCTCCAAGGACATTCCCAGCACTTTGCTTTTCCCCACATCAGCTGTGGCTCCCGCACGTGCCTGGGGAGGAGGTGGAACCACCGATTACTGTTGAGCAGGTGCAAATATCCCCAATTCCCGTGAATGCCCAGGGCAGCTCGTGACCTCTGGCCTTCCCTTGGCTCCGGGCCCGGCTCTTCTCGACCTGTTGGTTGCTCCCTGGGAAGTGTCGCCCACCGTGTTGCTCTGGGTCCATTCAGGGGCTGGTTTGGTCTCAGGAGAGCAAGGAGATGAGTTCCCCAAACTCCCTATTGTGCGCTGCTCTGCACAGGGGGCTCGGCGCTTCCCATGCCTCAGTTTCCCTGCTTTGTAAGATGATGGGACCCGCAACCGTCCGCCTTGAGAGAGCAGCACAAGGCTTGACAGGAGGCTCCTTGTTTGCAAGTGCAAGGAGTCACCTACAGTCAGTGGGCTTCAAATCTGGGAGCACTGGGGATTTGRGCTGGGGCTTCTGCCTTGGACGCAGCCGCTCAGTGCGTGCCGGGGTGCACGGGTGCCTCGATGCTGACGCTGTCCCCTCTCCTGTCCCCCAGCACCGGCCAACGGGCAGCGCTTCGAGGAAGCCCGGTTCGCCTTCGCGCTCAGCCCGCAGCAGCTGCAGCAGATCCTGGCGTCCCGGTAAGCGGCCCCTCTGCGGCGCGAGCAGCTCCGCTGCACTGATGTGGTTCATAAAACGTCCAGCATACGCCGCTGTGAATGAAATTCCCTGCTGTTGTCGCTGTAATCCCCTCGTTAAACGTTGCCAACAGGCTCAAGACCTTCTTTCCTGTTGCAGGGATATCTTACYGGGCGCCAGATGCGATTACACTGTACAGGTGCAGTTAAGGTAAGATCCGTGTCTGGGCGTCTTTTTGGTGACTGCATTAAGCGCTTTGCTCTGAGCTCGAGCGCTGAGTGTCCCCTGTGGTGGGTGAATCCTGCTCTTAGCCTTTGATGGGGTTAGAAACTGCACGTTGGAGCTTGGAGGAGTCCGCGGTTGGGAGCTCTGCGAGGAGGATCCTCTGCGGGCTCCCCGTGTGCCGCCGCTCCGTGCGGCGCGGCACTCCTGTCACATTTGGGTGCAGAGTCTGCCTGTTTATGCAGCGCRAATTTCCCTTTCAAATATTTACCTTTTTGCAGCGTCATTGCAAAAGGCAGAGTAAGAGGCAAAAATACCTTACCTTCAACCCTGAGCGTTTGTTAATATGCGCCTAATTACTGCTTACAGAAACACAAGAGATGTTGGAGAATGTTGGCTTGAGGAGAAAAACACTTGCAAGTGCTTCACGYTTTATCCTAGCAGCAGCTCCCACCCTGCTGAGCAGGAGTGGAGGAGACCCTTGCCCAACATTCAGCTCCTGGCTGAGTTTAAATGTCTTAAATGTTATTACCAGGGTTTTGAACTTGGCACAGGGACAGAGAGTGGTTGCTGTCCTCTGAGAAGGAAGGGGTTTGTCTGTGAGGAGGAGTTAGGGCTTGAGTTACACTCTGGAATCCTGAAGAACTGCAGTAATTTGAAGCCAAAGGCTTCTGCTGCCATTCCGAGGAGAATGTGTTGGTTTGCAGGAAGGCGTTCCGTATTAATTCCTGTTCCCTGACAATGTCTCTTCGATGGGAGACCTTGCGGTCACAGTTTGCGTGCTGTGTCCATCTRTTCCACTGTTGCACGCGGAGCATCCCGTTTCCTCCGCCGGATCAGGAGGTGGATCCCTGGAAGAGCCTCTCCTGCAATGCAGCAGAACACCGCGTGTGTTTGGGAGGGAGCAGTCGCAGCGTGTACCTGCACTGCGCTGTGGGCATTGAAGGAGAAGCAGAGTTTCCAAAAGAGCCCAGCAGTTTTATCCTGGGAGGTCACACGTGTCTGCTGGGATGTCCACAGTGCATCCATGGACCGGCAGAAACAACCCGGATTCAGCCAACGCGAGCGCCAGGCTCCAAAGTGGTGGTGGGATCAATTCCCGCTCAGCCCGGCTGCTCCAGYGCCTTCCCGTGCGAGAGAGGAAGGAGCAGATGATTCCCCAACTTGGTTCTTTGTTGTATTCCGTGGGGAGCGGCTGGGAGGCAGCGAGATGCGGGTTATTTATGTAGATGCTGGTGGGTGGCCCCGCGCGGTGCAGCGTGTGCAGCGTGCCCGGGCTTGGCCTTGCCAGGGCAGAGCYGGGCTCAGGGCTGTGCTTCTAGTGGGGAGTCATCCCCCCGGCACTGCCCCCTCCTTGGAAGCCGAATGGAGCAAGGTAGAGCAAAACATCATCCGATTCAAGAGGAGCAGGACCTGGACCCGGGCCCGGCGCGGGCTGCTGCTGCTGACATCCTTACGCCGCAGGAAGGCGACTGGAACGTAGGAAGCGATGGCAGATGAGTCCTGAAGCGGCGCTGAGCCCTAATGAGTCTCTCCTATTGCAAGATTTACTGTGGGGCAAACAGGGTTTTAATTCCCCCGGTGCTTGTAAACTGTGGTAGGTGACTTAAATGTAGGTGGCTCCTTTCCTCTGGGGAGTTWGCAGGTGAAGCAGCACCCGGCCTGCTCCGTGCTGCCTGGGAAATGTTTTCCTGTTCTCAAAGAGAAGTTTGGCTGCCGTCTTCGCGAGCCCCGTCACTCACTCGCAGTTTCCCCCTCCTGTTTTGTAGGTTCTGCTTGTGTGAAACCAGCTGTCCCCAAAAAGATTATTTCCCTCCTAATTTATTTGTCAAGGTCAAYGGAAAACTCTGTCCCCTGCCTGTGAGTAAATCCTATTTCTTGTTAATATGTTGTTGTCCAAACTCTGCCCTTGGACACAGCAGCGGCTCCCGATAAGTTTAGTAGGGATGTATTTTCCAGAAATTAAGACCCGGCTTGGAGAAATGCTCTTGTTAGCGTGAAAAACTGATTTCATGTTATGGGCTTGTGGATTAGGGATGAAAGCTGCTCTTTGACTCGCTTAAATAGGGGAACATGCCAACTTTTGCCCTGACTTTTAACCAGCAGAATCCCACTGGGTGTTTGGCCTGTCTCTGTTTCCAGGAAGCTTGATAATAAAAAAAAATGCAGCGTAAAATGGAAGATTAGTGGAATAACGGCACTACCTCTAGTTTATTGTATTACAGGAGGACCTAGATGCTCCAGTCAAGGTTGGGATCCTTGGTGCTGGGTAATGCCTAACAATATAATAAGAAATAGCCCTTCCCTGGAGGGTTTGCGCTGCACGAGGCGGTGCGGCTTGCCCGGGCCGCTCGCTGCCACGTCGGCGACGATCTCGGTGCTGGCGTCACAGCCGCGCGCCCGCCGCTGCCGTCGCTCCGTCCCCGCTGGCACCCTTTGCAACCAGACCTGCCAAGCGGCATCTCGTGCTCCGCCTGCACCACTCCCGTCATGTTTTCACAGATGTGCCTTTCTTTTTTGCCTCAAATGTTCTGTCCCTGTTTTTTTTTTTTTTTTTTTGAAGGGCAATTAAGAGCCTGCTAAAAAAGAGCAGGTTCCTTCCTGGCCTTGCGGGGTGGAAAGGGGGAGTCAGCGTGAGGCTGCGAGATGCCCCGCGGCAAAAAGATTCCCCCAGCTTATGTACCAAGATAAGGGTTTTTTTTTTTGGTTTGTGCTCAGTTGAGTGAGTCACTTGTGGCTGCAGCTCTTCCCATGTGCACATTAAAGCAGCTCAGCAGGAACCTTCTGTTGTGGTTGTTGTTTTGCTTGACTTCTGCTTAAAAGCAATAGTTGGCCCATGGGGGCAGAGCCTCGGGTTGAGCTGTCCAGTCTGTCCGAGGGTGATGAACCCGCCTCGCTGAAAGGGGAGAGGTGGAAATATCTCCAAATTACAGAGAAAAAAAGCTCTCGTGGGGTGGATCATGGGATAGGTTTCTAATCAGGTTGGAATGCGCGTGAAAAGAAGTAAGATGGGACCAACGTGAGATTGGGCTTGGGATGTGATGTTTTTAGCCCTCCCGCCRGGCTGGGATGTGGGGTTAGTGCAGTGCCTTGTGTACAAGACATATCCCACGCCGGCAGCTCGGCACTTGCAGAGGGGCTCAGCTGCTCATGGGATTCCAGTGTGCTTGTCCRGGGAAGGGCTTTAGAGGGAACCTTTATTCTTCATTTCCTGGGGGATTATCGTGTACTTCTGAGGCGGAGGTTTTAAGGACACTCCTCCCAGTTCCCTTGAAGGCTCTAGGATATGACACRAAATGCTTTGAGGTACAGTGTGCTGTGAAAAGACTGGCTTTGGAGCTTGTCCTGTAGGGCCGTGTCGCTTGGAGGGGATTTATCTCACATCGGGGGATCGTTCTCTCTTTGCAGGGTTATCTCCCACCCACTAAAAAYGGAGCAGAGCCGAAGCGACCGAGCCGCCCTGTCAACATCACTCCCTTGGTGCGACTGTCGGCGACTGTCCCGAACACCATCRTGGTGAACTGGTCCCCGGAGCTGGGCAGGGTGAGTGGGGAGAGGCGYCTCCCCGGTCACGCGGAATCCCTAAGCAGTGCCGCGTTCGGTGGGGACAGTATCGGGTTGTCTCCTCCGAATCCCTGCTCCTGCTGTTCCGTAGCGATCAGCTCTTTGCAGCCTCCAATCTGCGGGCTGCCGTCGTTTCCACAGCAGCATCAAGCTGTGCAAAAGCAGGAGATTCCTGTCCCTTGCAGGGCGTCTTGCCGGGCTGAGCAGGGTCGACCTCTTTTCCGCAGAGCTACTCTCTGTCGGTTTACCTGGTGAAGCAGCTCACGGCGGCAGCGCTGCTGCAGAAGCTGAGAGCCAAGGGCATCCGCAACCCCAATCATTCACGTGCCCTCAGTRAGTACCTGTCGAGACCACGTCAGCTTCTTGCAAGCCCCTACACAGCTGCTCAGGCCTGTATACGGGAGTGTGATTGGAGGGAAAAGACGGAAAAGGTGCCCTTTTTAACAGGGAGGTATTTGAACAAGGCTGTAAACCAGTGTATATAGGATARTGTCCACTATGATAAGCATCATTTGACTGTGATTTGGATATTGAGCATCGTGGTGCAAACTGTAAATTACATCTGTGTGTATTTATGCGTGTGAGAAAAGGGACTGGTTAACAAGAGAGCTTTTCCTCCTCCTCTTCTTTCAGTCAAAGAAAAACTGACTGCTGATCCTGACAGTGAGATCGCCACCACAAGCCTGCGAGTTTCCCTCATGTGTCCGGTGGGTTTCTACATTTTCCTGACATTTGAATTAATGTCTTGATCAACCTACCGGAGGGATGGACAGGGAATGGAATAAAGGTGACACCCCRATCTGTGCTTTGTGCCACGTTGTGCAGAACTGAGTGCATTTCTTCTTTCTTGTGTCTCAGCTGGGCAAGATGAGGTTGATGGTGCCCTGCCGAGCCATTACCTGCACCCACCTGCAGTGCTTTGATGCAGCCCTCTATCTTCAAATGAATGAGAAGAAACCCAAGTGGACTTGCCCTGTGTGTGATAAGAAAGCCCCCTATAAGAAGCTGATAATTGATGGGTGAGCTGGGCAGGCTCTGTGTACGTTCTTTAACCTGGTTAATGGTTTGTTTTTAAGGTTAATCCTCTAATGCTAGCATATATAGATGAGTTACAGCCTCAAATAACTAAAACCTGTTTTTTTTTTCATTGCCTAAACTGCTTTGAGGCCAGTTTGGAGAGATTTTCCCTAAAGAACAAGAAGCCTTTGTCCAAATCTTGGCTTCCTTGCTGGCAGTCTGCAGGGGCTGTAGTGAGGGAACCTGCTCCGTGGTTTGAACAGAGCCCTGCTACATACGTTGAACAGCCCATCACAGAGCTGGGCTTTCAGGGGAGCCCGGCCTGGGCTGGCTGTTAGAACTGTAATTCTCTGTGCCCCGTTAACCCACCCCCGTCACTTCTGCGTCATTCCTGCCTCCTTGCAGTGTTTGCTCTCCCCAGCTGCTGCTCTCTCACCTGGCAGGTTATTCATGGAGATCCTCAACTCCTGCACGGACTGCGACGAGATACAGTTCATGGAGGACGGCTCCTGGTGCCCCATGAAGCCCAAGAAGGAGAACCAGGAGGTGTGCCAGACATCTGCGTTCAGTGGGATTGAGGGTATGGGAGTGATAGTCACCAAGTCTTCTTTTGGATGTCTGGTCTTGCCAAAGCAGCTTTCACGGAGAGCTTTGGAAGTGTTTTAGGTCCCACCTGGGAGCCATCCTTYGGGAACACACGAAAATACCAGGAGCATGACAGGCACTTAGCAGACTGCTGTGCACACTCTAGGAATAAAAAAAGAATGGAAAGCCCAGATTCTGTAGAAACCACAGCCTTAATTCTAGGTGGGCCATTGGAATGGAGACCTGTCTGCTAGCGTGAGCTCTGGACGATGCTTCTGGTCTGGGGCCGGGTTTGCTCTAAGCTGAGTGCTGGTCCTTGCAGCCCGTGTGTCCCGGGGCTGCGGTGCTCGGGTGGGTTGTGCTGTGTCGCCTCTTTCCATCCCGGCCGACCGCAGCTTGTCGCCCGCCTTCCTTTGCAGCCAGCGCCCTTTACACTGAGAGCTGCGAGGACAAGAGGTCCTCGGAGGGCAGCAGCAAAGCGGAGGTCATCGATCTCACCCTGGACAGCTCGTCGGACGAGGAGGAGCCGCCTGCCCAGCAGCGGTGCCCGACGGCCAGCRCGGCTCTGCCGGCAGCGGCCGAGCCCAAGGGGTAAGGGCGCCCAGCTCAGCCTTCAGGGTACCCTSCTGGGAGCCTATGGCCCCTCTGCTCGCTCCCTGGGAAGCACTTGCTGCTCCTGTCCCCACCGTGTCCCCGCGAAGCTGCCAGCACGCCGGGACGTGTCTGTGTGTGGAGGGAAGTGGGAGCACTTGTTCCTGCTGCRGGCTTGGTGGTATCAGGGTTTCTTAAGGTATAACAACAACTGGGGGATTTTTKAGAAGTTCTTTGGTCTTTGTTCTCTTTCAGGGTGCTGACTGTTGCTCATCGGCCGTCTTCGGTGCTTCGGAGTCCTGCCAGGGCCGCTCTGGGCAGCGACTGTCTCGCCAACCTGCCCGTTCCTGAYTACCACCCTTGGTACCAGGTGCCGACAGAGCTCCAAGGTAACAAGGACCTCTGGCACTGCTTTCAGATGTGCCCAGTTGTACCGGTTTAGCAGACCGAGCCGTTAGCTGTGGCGTGTGCATCGAGCTGCGAGGCCTCGCTCGCTCCTGCTCGGTGCGGCCCCTCTCAGCCTGGCGGCTCTTGCAGATCAGAGCAAGGGCTACTGAATGGCAGGACTCACTGGCCYAACACAGGACGGGGAAGAAGGAAACTAGAGCAGCTCATTCCCGCGCGTGACTCCAAAGCTCGGCCCACGTGTGCGCGCTGGCTGCGAGGCCGCCCGGGAGGGCTTGCGGAGGGAGAGCCACAGGTTCCTTTGGGTTGGAGTCGACCGTGTCCTGGTACCTGGTGCTCGGGAGCAGCCTCAATCCATCCGCTTGACTCTGCTAGTCCAGCTTGGCTCCCCTTCCTGCCAGAACTTTATTTACCAGCGAGAGATTTATTTTTTCCCCTTTTTGTTTTCCTAGGTCTGGATTTGTTTTCCTTCCTTCAAAGTGAAAACCAGGTAAGTTTGGGGGTGCCATTTTTGTTTTTCTTTTCTTTCTGACAAACCTGCAGTCTGGCAAGCGCATCCTTCCTTCCTTCAGCCAACCTYCCTCCTCTTCCATCCTCTTCCTCTACCAGCAGCGTTGTAGGACGATGCTGGGGGTGCCAGCTCTGTGGTGCCGCGGGGGCATCGCCTGGCGCCCCGGCCAGATGGGAAGTGTCTGCAGGAACGCCAGGCTCTCGCCCCTCTCCCCAGCACCCCTTTTCCTCACAGCTTTAAGTCTTCCCCGTCATGGAAGCGGGAAGAGCCGGGGCTCGGGGGTGGAGACGCTGCTCCCGCGGGGCCGGATCGGCGCAGCCAAGCACGAGGACGCGGTGGTGGCGCTGCCGGTGCGGCGCGGGAGGCGGAGGGGCATCCGTGCCCGGCGCCTGGGTTCCAGCGCGGTCCCTGGAGGCTCCTTCTTCTTCCTCTGCGCCGGGCCCTTTCCTGCTGCTGTTTCTCCTGTGCTCTTCCCACCTCCAAAGCCCGAGCGGCGCCGGGTTGAGCGCACGGTGGGTGTTGATGGTTCAGGGCTGGTCTTGGTGAGCCGGTCCATGAATGCAGGGAGCACCAGCTCTGTAAACGGTACCTGCCGTCCCTGTGGACAGCGCTTGCTCCCCCGAGGGACCTGCCCTCTCCGTGTGGCTCCGTGCGCCCTTCCGCAGGGCAGCGGGGCCGGAGCCGCTGGGAGGGCAGCTCTCACGAGGCCTTTCGCTTGCTTGGCAGCATTACAGCCCGTCCGTGCTCACCTCCCTGGAGGAGCAGGATCCGCTCGGCCGCTTCCTGCAGCACCGGGATGCCGGCGGCCGCCTCGAGGGCCTGAACGCRCTGGTGCCGGCCGGGAGCCGCGCGGGCATCGCGGCGGCCCCTGTGCCGCGCCAGGGCCCTGGCGCCGGTGTCATTTCCCTGGACTGAGCCCCGCGGGCGGCACCGGGCGCCGAGGAGGGCGGACAAGGACGAGGACAGGCCCAAGAGCGACGCGCGGCGCCGGAGCCCCCGTCCTGAGCGGGGATGGTTGCTGGATGGGCCACCCCGGAGGTGCCACGTGGGAGATGGCGCCACGGGATTCCCAGCGGATGGGGCTGTCCCACGACCCAGAACCCGGCTCCAGTCTTACAGCTGGATGCCCAAACAGGACGCGGGGACCAACGGAGGCCACGGGCTGAACCGCAGCCCCGCGCGAGGGGACAGTGCAGGCGCTCGGCCCCGCTGCCGCCTTCCGTCTCTAGTGACGCTGGGCTCGGGGCCGTCTCACTTGTAATTACGATATATTTTTTTTTAAAGAATTTAGATATTTTTCCTCCTTTTAAMTATTTCCAATGCAGCCCTGTACAGAGAGCAAATAGAGAATCTATATTTTCAGCTGCAGCCTTTTGTACAGACAGAACTCCAAAGACTCCGCGCTTCTCTTGCCGACTAAGTGGYGGCCGCGCGGTGCCCGCAGTGCCAGCGCTCCGCCCGGTGCACGGGACTGTTGATGGATCTGAGTGTCTGCTGGAGCTGGGGCCGCCACGGGTGGCTCTGGAACGGGCAGGGCGCTGCGTGTAGCACCTTTCAGCACTTTCCTTCGTTCCGCAGTCACTGTTTGGATGCAATAAAGCCGTGAAGCCGCTGGGCGAGCGTGGCCTGCGTGGCGTGGGACGAGTGCCTGGCGGGACCGGCGCTCCGGGACGTTCCCGCTCGGYGTTTCCCGCAGCTCCGCGAGCAGCCCCCGGATCCTGCGGCACGTGGGGCACTGCCGGTGCCTGCGGTGGAGGGTGAAGCCGGCGCTGAGGTGCCCGCGCGCAGGAAGGTGGCGGCGGTGGCGGGACAAGCCGGAGCGTCCCGGGCGTCCTCGGTGCGTTCGGCTGCAGCGTGGGTGTCCCCGGTGTGCTCAGCAGTGTCCGGGCATCCTTGGTGCGCTTGGTGGCGYGTTCAGCAGTGTGCTCGGCTCATCCTGGGTGTCCGTGGTACGCTCGGCTTATCCTGGGTGTCCGTGGTGCGCCCCGCTGCATCCGTTGCATCCTCGGCGCTCTTAGCTCCATCCCAGCTGCGCTCAGCTCCGTCCTGGGCATCCCCATCTCACCCGTCTCGTCCTGGACATTCCCATCTCACCCATCTCATCCTGGACATTCCTGTCTCACCTGTCTCATCCTGGAAATCCTCGGCTCAGCTCCATCCTGGACATTCCCATCTCACCMGKCTCGTCCTGGACATCCTCGGCTCAGCTCCATCCTGGACATGCCCATCTCACCCGTCTCATCCTGGACATTCCCGTCTCACCTGTCTCATCCTGGAAATCCTCGGCTCAGCTCCATCCTGGACATTCCCATCTCACCCGTCTCGTCCTGGACATCCTCGGCTCAGCTCCATCCTGGACATGCCCATCTCACCCATCTCATCCTGGACATTCCCGTCTCACCTGTCTCATCCTGGAAATCCTCGGCTCAGCTCCATCCTGGACATTCCCATCTCACCCGTCTCGTCCTGGACATCCTCGGCTCAGCTCCATCCTGGACATGCCCATCTCACCCGTCTCATCCTGGACATTCCCGTCTCACCTGTCTCATCCTGGAAATCCTCGGCTCAGCTCCATCCTGGACATTCCCATCTCACCCGTCTCGTCCTGGACATCCTCAGCTCAGCTCCATCCTGGACATCCTCGGCTTCTCTGGGGCATCCCTGGTCGCTCAGCCACATCCCGGCTGTCCTCAGCGCGGCTCCATCCCTGGATCGCTCGGCTCGTCCTGGACGCCCTGCACCCCCCTCCCTCGCGCTGCCCCCTCCCAGGGCCACCCCAGGGCACAGGCAGGGGACAACAGCCACCCGTGAGCAATGACCTCCCTGCCCCTCCACCCACAGGAYGGCCCCTGTGCCCGGGGCACCCATCCCGGTCACCCCTGTCCCTGCCACCCTCTCCGGCAGCAGCAGGCGCTTGTTGCTCATTTTTTATTCTCTACAGAAATGGGGCCCGCGGTGCCAAGGTGACAAGGCTGTCCCCCCGCGGCCCCTCAGGGCTTCTTCAAGGTGCTCTCGATGAAGGACTCCAGCACGAAGATGGTCTCGTCCACCTGGTTCTCGCTGGCGTCGATCCTGGAGACGAGAGGGGACGGTGGCAGCGGGCGAGGGGACGGCGGCGCCTCCGTCCCCACCGCCCCCACGCACTTGTTGACGTTGCGCTTGAGGGTCTCGAGCTGCTGCCGCTCGGGGGCCGTGATCATCTCCTCGATCTCCTGCAGCTGCCCCTCCTCGGCGCCCGTGGCCTGCATGGAGGCCAGGATGGCCTCCACGCGCTGCGACTTCTCCAGCAGGCGCCTGGAGGGGTCGGGGACAGGGACTCGGCCTCCTGCCGCTTCCCTGGCGCGCGGAGCGGGCGGCACCTGCCACCAGCGCCACTCACTTGTTCTCCTTGGTCTCAAACTGCCGCCTCTCGATGAGGTTGGCCACGGTCTGGGGAGAAGCGAGAGCCGCGTTGGGGACAGCAAGGGGACAAGCACGTGGCACGGGAGGGCGCCGCGGGACAGAGGACTTCACTGCCATCCCTGGCTCCCCCGTGTTGTGGGAAGGCCTTTTTGGGGAGCAACCGCCCTAAGGGGGGTGGGAAAGGGGCGCTGGGCCTTGCAGGGACACCAGGACAAGGTACCTTGTAGCATCGATGCAGCAGCATCCGCGCCGAGGACAGGACGTTCACTGTGTACAGGTAGAAGGTGCGGGAGGGCGCGTGGTCCGGAGTCTTGGGAATCTCCTAGCGGGCGGCAAAGGGAAGGGGGAGGCCTTCATCCCGCTGGCTTCCGCGGCRGCGGAGCGGGACCGCTCACCTGCAGGGACACCAGGTTCTCGGAGAGCATTTTGTACAGCATGTCCTTGGCTTCCTTGGCCGGGATCATGGCAAAGTCCTCCACTTGCTTCTGCTCCAAATGCTTCTTCCGCAGCAGCAAGCGGAATATCCTGGCACAGCGGGAGCCAAACCTCAGGGGGAGAGGGAAATSATGAAATCTATGGATGAGGATTGGAAGAAAGGGCCAGGAAGCCTCCAAGGTCTTCAAATCGCCGCTTTACCTCTCCTCCACAATGGATTCCAGGGTTGCCGTTGCGAGAGACGCAAGAGCCTTGTGAAGATCTGCACGGAGCTCATCAAGGGATAACGGGAGCAGCTGGGAATGGCCTCACGCGCTGGGAAGCGCCGAGGCYGGAGGCCGCCCTGGCAGTTCTGCACAAAGGATACTGACTGTGTACATGCCCCCGCCGCTGTCCCCGGATTTGCCCACGAACTCCAGCTAGAGCACAGGAAAACCAAGCTCAGGATTAGGAAATGACTGACGTTCAGAGGAGCTTCCCTGWAAGGGGCCATTTAGTGCCGAATATGCTGAAGTTTTTACAGAAGTAAAATCTTAACAGCCTGAAGCTACTGCCCGTGCTTGGAACGAGATTCTCTTTCAGTGCAGTTAAAATACATAGAGAGAGTAGGAAACTGCTTCCCCCCTCAGCCTGAGGTGCTAATCCCAGCCGCTGAAGCCTCGTGACAAAGCGGGACAGGGTTTCTCGGGAGGCAGCAAGGGGAACGGCGTCTTCCCCTTGCAGCGGGACGTGAGGAACGGCTCGTCGCGGGCCGGGCCGGTGACCTAACCCCGCGTTACTCACCGGGTCATCTGCCAGCAGCGTGAGGTACTGATCCAAAACCTGCTTCACGATGTTGTATCCGGYGGGAAGAGACCGGAATATCTACGGGAAGAGGCACGGATGGAACATGAGTGGCGGCAAAATGACCAAACCACCAGGTTGGCTCAATCTGCAGGCGCTTCACAGGGATTTGCTGCCTGGTCCTCGGCTCCTGCTCTGGGAAGCGTCTGGCCTCCAGGAGCGGGAATTCCAGCAGGGAAGCTGCTGGAAGCRGCTCCCGCAGGGCACACGGGGGAGCAGAAGCGGGGAGCCCTGGGCGGCGCTCACCTCGTTGGAGGAGAGCGGCTGCGTGTAGGGCGCGCTCGACGACGTGGTGACCTCGCTCATGCGCAGCATCGTCCGCACGATCTCGCTGCTCGTCTGCGGGAAGGGGCCCTGAGCGGGCGGCACCTCTGGGCGCACCAAGGCGCCAACGGGCCCGCTGGGTTCCTCCCACAGCAGCGACGAGCGCGGGCAGTGCCCACCCCGGTGCGGGGCTTCAAACATTCCCAGCGGGACCGCGGCGCTTCCCGCCCCTCCTACGGACCTGGTCCATGCGGTTGGCCACGGCGCTCACTATTCCCTGGTCTCGGAAGTGCTGGTGGAACCGGTCGATGTTGACTTGCCAGTAAATGCCGTCGTCAGGCGGGGGCTGGGGAAAGCCAAGGGAGGTGACCCGAGGTCCTGCCACCACCTTCTGCCCCGAGGAAGGGGCGTTTGGGATGCGCTGGACACCGGCTCCCTCAAACTCAAGCAGAGGAGGGGGACGCTCCGCAGGGAGGACAGGGATGGGGATAAGGGAGGTGCCAGGCGAGGACGGGACCAGCTCTGCGTTGCGGGCCTGCRGAGCCGGGTGATGCTGCCCGCAGGGTACGAGCGCGTCCCCGGTACCTCGGCATCTTCTCCATCGCCCTTCTGTTTCTTAGCCTTGTGCTCCCGGGCCTCGTCCTCATCGCACGATCGCCTCCGCTTCCCTTTCCCTGCGTCCCGAAGACGGCGTTTGCTTTGAACGCTTCCGTTGCGGTTTCCTGGGTTCCCTGGCCGGGCACCCGAGGGCTCTCACCTGTGAGGCTCAGCCTGGGCACCACGTACATGTCCTTCTCGCTGAGCACCAGCGCGGGCGCAGGCGGCGCCTCGGGCGCTTCCGCAGCCTCGGGCACCTGTGGGCACCTCTGCACAAAGTGCGTGTCCGCCAGGCGCACGAACGTGCTCGACACATCCGCGTAATCCATGGTCTTCCCATCTAGGGTGGGCACGGTGGCACGAGCTGTGGCTTTCTCCCTGTCCCTTGTCCCTATTCCCCTTGGTGGCACCTTCAGAGGTGAACCCGCTTCCCCTGCGCCCGCCCGTTTCCCCGGGACCGTCCTGCAGGACAACCGAAGCGCGGCCGCCTCCGGGGACACGTTCCCTGAACCAAAGCRGCCACCTCCCCCGCTCCCACATGCCTTTCCCTTGGGAGAGCAGCAGCTCCCAGGGGCCTCCCACCTTCCATGGTCTCGGTGAGCCGGTCGGCGACCCTCCTCACCACGGCGCTCATGGTCATCTTGCCGTTGAGGAGCAGCTCCTCCACGAGCAGCTCGCCCGTGTCGCCGTAGAGCGTCTTGGCGGTGTAGATGTAGCGCGGGTAGCGCAGGATGCGCAGCACGCGCCCGCACTGCGCCTCGTACTCCACGAGGCCGCGTCTCTGCACCTGGTAGGCTGCCAGGTTGTGCTGGATGAGCACGCACAGGCCCTTCTTCACCTGCGGGAGGGCCGAGCCGTGGGCCGCGGGTGGAGGCCGGGGCACGAGGCCCCTCCGCCGCTCGAGGAAACCCGCTTGCTTCCACCTTGTCCGTCCCGCTTTATTTTGGCGTTTGGGAGTCTCTCCCGCGGGCTGTTACCTGCTGCAGCGAGAGCCCCGTGCCGGCGGCGATGGCGCGCAGCGGCTGCGCGCCCGTGCCCAGCAGGCGGGCGCCCACGGCCTCCACGATCTCCCCGAAGTGCTCCCGCAGCAGCAGGGCGCACAGCTTGATCTCCGCCTGCGTCATGGCGGCGGCGCCTGCGGGAAGGCGCCGCCGTTACCGGGGCCGCCACGCGGGCGCCCTCCTGCCCGCACGACCGGCCCGAAATGGAGGGCGCGAGGCCCAGGCGGGAGCATCGCCGGGCGCTGCCTCGCGGGAGGGCCGGGGAGGCCGCCGAGGAGGCACCGGGGCCGCCGCATCCCCCGTAGGAACCGGGGGGCGACCGGGGGTCCCGCAAGGCCGCGGGCCGCGCCCGCACTCACCTAGGCCCGTGCCGCAACCATGGCAACCTCCGCTTCCGGCCGCCGGCGGCTACTTCCGGTGCTGCCGGCGCCTCGCTTGCCGCCCTGGAGGCCCGGCGGCGGCGGCGGGGTTGCTCCGTCCGCCCCGCTCC